AAGAGCTGGTGGAGGAGCTGGATGCAGCACCACTGCAAGTGGGATGCTGGGCAATATCATGACCAAGTCACAGGATCCAGGAGATTTTCTGTCATGATACCAACACTCATGCTGAGACTAAAACCAGGTGCCCCTCTCACTCCCCAGTTTTTACACTCCTTTCCTGTAAGCCTGAAAATTAAGTAATCAAGTGCTAGATAGTAATAATATTTGAGAAATTATGAATGGTCTGAGTAATTCAGTGATGAGTGACTCCTTTTTGCTCAATGGAGTCACAGAATAGAATGACAGTTATAAATTAACCAATTTGCGGCAATTATGTTTTTCATCTTGATTCCTTCTAGAGATAACAAGGAAAGGCAGTGGATGTGGGGGGCATGGAATGAATAATTGATGGAAAAGCACATTTGAAAGTAGCAAAGAACAAAAAAAAATCTCAGCTGATTGTGTCAAAGATCCTGAAGAGAATGCTGATTGTGGATGATTTTGTGAAAGACTGGATATTAGTGCCTTTCATGGTAAATTAAGACTGGGTTACTTGGCATTAGCTGTGTTTGAAGTTCAAGCAAAAGATAAAGGTCCCTTTAAAAATAACAGAAGGAATTATTTTTCTTTTCATGTTTTGTTTTGTTTTATCAAATTAATAATGCTCATGTACACCCTGCAGCTATGATTCATATGTGTTTATATGCATAAATGAGAGATATAGGCTCTCAGAATTGACCACAAAAATTAAAACAGGAAGGCAGATGGTAGTCTTTTATTCCATCTGTATTTCAGTTAATCAGCTACTCTTATCAGAACTGCTGCTTTGAGAATCAGTGGTTCTTATTTTTCTTTGCAAGCTAGAGGCACACAAGCTGCTTTTGTGAAGGTTCTACTAGCTGAAACATATGCAAGAATCTATATGTAAGAAAAAATAGAAGAAAAAACAAAGTGAAATACTTAGCCTAAAAATAGTCAAGTTTGGGGCTTTGATTTTGCTCTGTTTGAGCTATTGTAAGAGAAAACATCAGTAGAGTCACACTGATTTAGGGAGTGAAGAACTGAATCTCTTTTGCATGAATTAGTAAAGTCTCAAATTAAACAAAGCAGGGAGAAGAAAAAAAAAAAGGAGAAAGAGAGGCACTTATGTATCCATTCTCACCAGCCTGGTAGCTCACTACTAAAAAAAAAAAAAAAAAAAAAAAGGCTGTTAAGATGGACACTGTCACAGAGGATTTGTGGAGTTAATTTACCTATTTTGCTTACATGTATTTTAATAAGATTTAATAAGCTGCTGAAAAGAAGAGTGCTGCTTCTTTTTCAACTGATGGCATTAAGATGAAAACAAGCAGCTTTTTAGAATGACATTAACTGGCACTTTAAAAGTTAATAGAGCTCCTATGAATCTGTTTTGGCAACACCTGGAAGAAGCAGGTGGGAATTCCACTGAGATAAATGGCAAGCCAGGGACAGAGAAAAATAATAGGTTCTTATTTACAAGGTCTGGATATGGTATTAGTCCTTCCTCTGGCAAAACCTCTTATGAAATCAGTAGAAGTCTTGACTGTACTGAAAAGTAAAACATACACCACTGAAGAAAATCTAAATAAAATGTTTACAGTATCTTAATGCAAAGAGTTTCTTAAGGATGGTATTTTTTTCAATTTGTAATGCAATTTCAAATTGCAGCTGTGATAGATGAAGGACCACGTAAGCCAACCAGCGACAAGAAGCATCCTTGTTCCACAGCAATTGGAGCTCAATGGCTCCGGCTGCTGGGTAATGAATTTTTCAGGTTTGTATAAGTTCTCTAAATCATAGAGATCAAAAGAAAGAAAACATGTAAAACATGTACACATGTCCAAATTGATCCCTGAAATATTCCCACCAATAACAATAGGAAATGCGCACAGCTGCCTGCTGAGGGTAGAATTCTGGTCCCTTCCATGCAATCCAAAATCAGAATAAAGGTAGAAACTGCCTTGATTTCATATATTCCTTCTCAAATTTGCTTTGCAGTGCTTTTCTGGTTTGGCTGAGCTCCTCAAAGGGCAGCATCTGAAAGCAGTGAAAGCAAGCAGTAATGTTTTTCAGTCCTAGGTTTTAACTCATCAGGCCTAATGCCAGCTGCAACATTTGGTACCTGGAGGGCAAGTATGGGATAAGTAAGGTCTTTTGCCTCTGTCCTGCAGGTTGTTTCATAAATGTGGGAAAGGAAATATGGCCTGGAGGCATCCAGTATGGGGTAGCTGGCGATGTAGGTGATAATTTGTATCCAGTGGGAGCTCCATAGAGGTCTTTTACTGTGCAATATTTGCATTAATGATCTTGGTGATGGAGAAGGAGAATATGTTCTATGAATTTGCTAATGACAATTTGGGAGGGATTGCGAGTGTTCTGAAAGACTGGAATTCAAATTGGTCTTGACAAGTTAGAGAAATGAGTTGAAAAAACAGGATGCATTTCAACAAAAAATGCCAGAAACTACACTTAGAAAGCAGTAATCAGCTGCAGTCATGGGAATGGGCATGTATTAAAAGGACAGCAATTCTGCAGAGAAATGTTTGCAAGTGATATACTGGATCCAGTCTGAACATGAAGTCAGCAATATTGTGCTTTTCACTTCTTCCACTCTATTTTTTTTTCTAGCCTTCTAAAATTCTTACGTCAGGATTTGATTGTTGTTCTAGATATTGAAGTTTTTAGCATCTAGAGTTTTCAGTATTAGTGAAAACAGAATGGGTCAGAGGGAATGACTAAAGGTCTCAGAGAAATGGCTGTCATGGTTCTGCTCGAGTGGGCAGCCAAGCTCCACCACAGCCGCTCTCTCACTCCCCCTCCTCAAAGAGGAATGGGGAGAAAATATGTGAAAAGGGCTCAAAGGTTGAGATAAGGATGAGAAAATCACGCAGGAATTATTGTAATGGGCAAAACAGACTCGGCATAGGGAGATAGTAAGATTTATTGCTTATTACTAACAAGCTAGAGAAGTGAGAAACAAAAGAAAGAAACCAAAAGCACCTTTCCCCCCCATCCACCCTCTTCCACCTCCTCCCCCCGAGCGGTGCAGGGGAATGGGGGAACGGGGGTTATGGTCAGTCTACAGCGCTTCTCTGCCGCCCCTTCTCGGTCACTCTCGTCCCCTGTGCTATGGGATCCCTCCCACGGGATGCAGTCCTTGATGAACTGATCCGGCGTGGGCTTCCCACAGACAGCAGCTCTTCAAGAACTGCTCCAGATATGGGTCTGTACCACGGGGTCCATCCCTCAGGAGAAAACTGCTCCAACCTGGCTCCCCCACGGGCAGCAGCTCCTGCCAGGTCACTTGCTCCTGCGTGGTCTCCTCTCCACGGGCTACAGGTCCGGCCTGGAATCTGCTCCAGCAGGGGTCTTCCACAGGTGGCAGCCTCCGTCAGTGCACGGCCACCTGCTCCACTGTGGTCTCCTCCATGGGCTTCAGCGTGGAACCCTGCTCCACCGTGGTACTCCATGGGCTGCAGGGGGACATCCTGCTTCACCATGGTCCTCACCACAGGCCGCAGGGGACTTCTGCTCCGGCGCCTGGAGCACTTCTCCCCCTCCTTCTTCACTGACCTTGGTGCCTGCAAGGCTGTTCCTCACTCCTCTCGCTCTCCCAGCTGCTGTGTGGTGCAGCGTTTTTTTCCCTGTCTTAAATATGCTCTCACAGAGGCGCAAAACAACATCGCTTATTGGCTCGGCTTGGGTCAACAATGGGGCCCTTACCAAACATGGGGCAGTTTCTAGATCCTTCTCACAGAAACCACCCCTATGGCCCCCTGCTACCAAACCTTGCCACGTAAACCCACTACAATGGCCTACAAAACAATTTTGGCTCATCTTTGATAATTTAGCATGCAAAGGGGAAGACTGAAGGACAAGCATGACACCATAAGTATATAAAAGATATCCAAAAGGAGAAAATAGCAGGATCCTGTGTTCTCCATTTACATGCTAGATAAGATAAACAGGAGCAAGTAATATGCAACTAAAATAGTATTCACTTTGTAATAACAGAGAAAATGAAGCCTTGGACTAGATCTCCTGGAGGGTCGTAGAGATCTTTAAGTATGGGCTTGATAAATATTTACCAGGAAGAAGGATGCAGCTGACCTGCCTTGGGCCAGGGATGAGCTAAGTAGCCTTCCAGCTCCCCAGTCCTGCCACAAGGTATGGCTGTGGCTCACTGTCCACGGCCAGCAACCTGGAGGGGCTGGTACAGAGCACAGTGCAGCTCCAGCAATTGCCCAGTGCTTTAAGGGCTGATAGGGATTTACTTGCCAGGTAAATGTGTCCAATTAGGCAGGTAGCAGCTGCCATGACTGCAGTCAGTCTAAAACACCAGTAACGTAACCAAGAATTCAGCAAACTGCATCTGTAGAGTGAGATGCCGGATCCAGATGTTGTTTAAAGTATTGCTCTGTCTTTCAGTCTGCCTTTTCTTTATCTTATTCCAGTTTTCTCTCTCTGCCTTTTATCACTTAGGAGAAATTAATTTTGAATTTGTTTTTAAACAAATAAATATCCATAGTGTGTGGTTTTCATAATACATCTCTTTGTGGTATATCTTTGTCTGCACATCATGAATTCCAGTAGATAAGAAAACTGAATAAATACTTCATGTAAGAAAAGTACCAGGAAAAAGAGCTAATTAGCTGGATTGATATAAGTTGTTCTGTGATCCATGAAAATATGTTAGTCATAATGCCGTTCTTGATAAACTCCATCCAAACTCATTCAGACATACTGTCAAACTACGAAAGGGAAATGTGAAAAGCAAAGACAGGCACTCAAGGTAATGCTAAAAGAAAAGCCAGAAGAAAGGTTTTTGTCATAAAGTGTTCCCACAACATCTAACTCCATTCTCCAGAAAGCTGCTGACAGCACCATAGCCAAAGCAGGCAAGTAGCCTCACACAGTTATGAAAGTGGAGTGGTGTGATTTGTTCTGCAGACGGTGAAGTAAGAACGAGGGCAAGGCTTGAGGTGTGGTTTTGAAAGGGTGCACTTAAGGTCATGGACTGACTGGCTCCAGTCAGATTATTGCCCTTATGTCTGCAGACATGCCTCTTAATGGTATACCCTGCCTTTAGAAAGAGCACAGAGGAAAAACAGGCCATCCCCAGGATGATGCATGAGATTCAGCTACCCCTGACCACCACAGAGGAGTCAGCATTTTGGTCTCAGAATATAATTCTTTATTGAGGTCATAGAAATGAGAACTTTTCCATAATTGAAAAGTGAAGAGTGGAAATGCGTTTTTAGAAGAAAGAAGGGGGTATGTAAAGGTTTCCTTAAGAACATCTGTGTGACTGTGCCTGCCTATCTATATATTCCCCTTCATTTAGCAACCAGCACAGTCAGGCCATTCCCAACATTTCCATACTGGAAATCTCCTCTTAAGGCTGGGCAATCTGCCCTCTAACACCTGCAGCTCCTTCTTCCCTCATCCTGTGAAGTCAGTCTTCAAGACAGAGCAGACGGACACTCCTTTGGAAAGCCTTCAGGGCCAAGAGAAGCACTTCTGATAGATCACCTTTCTGTGGTATCCCTGTGGAGTACAAACCTGCTCCTGTCACAAGACGCTCCTGAGGAAGCAAAATAACTTAAACAAAAAATAGTGTCCCAAATCTGAATATGAACAAAACAAGCCACCATCATCTCTCTTTATTACCTAAAGCAGAGACTGTCTTCACAGTGGGAGCCCTGTCCATGCTCCTTTTCATCTTTTCAGAAGCTTATCTCTGGTTCTTGCAGAGTTGGGCTCAGTTTCTTAGTTTTTCCTCTACAGCTTGGCAGGTCCTGTAAGTGTAGTAGGCTGATTGCAACCACAAGATTCCTTTATCCTTCTTGACTACTGAATGGTAGGTGTTGTGCCCTTCCTTCCTCCCACCCCCACCCCCAATATCATTTGCATGAAGAGTGGTCTATTACTGATCATTTAAAGTAATTTGAGTAAATTGTTATTTCTTCAGATTGTCATGGATTAGAGTTCCTGCTTCTGTTGTCAGAGTGACAGATGGAGTAACATCGCATGCCAATAATAAACAGAATTTCTGGAAGTCATTCTTTTTTAAATGTTAGTTTGCACATGCATGTACACACAGGAATTACTTTTAGACTTTTGGACTAGAGTTTTTCTTGCTTATTTCAGTAGAAAGGTAACAATTGTTGAGGGAAAAGTTTTGAGCAGATAGAGAAGGAATGAAATCCTCAAATTCTTTTTCTGTGATGCCTACTAGAGTTTTGTTTTCTGTATGGTCAGGTTTCTCAGTCTGCTTGTAGGTTCAGTGTCTCTATAAAGTAAACAGTGTTGAAAACAAAATTGGACATATCAGGAGGAATAGAACTGATTCTCACTGAAAGAAAAAAAAAAAAAAAAGAAAAAAAAAACTTCTAAAAATTATCATTTGCTTTTCAGGCACTTGGTGCACCTGTTCAACATGTAGTGGAATTTCTCTCCTGCCTGACCAGTCATGTTCAATAGCAAGCCAGGCCAGATTCATGTGTCTGGCTCCTGCTTCATGCATGCAGGTGCGCAAAGCCATTCTTTGCACCTGCGCTGCACAGTGCCTCCTCCTCTTTCCCTCCCTGTGGCCTGGTGTCATGGGTGTAGCTGCTCTGCTTTGTTGTCTTCCTTCTCTTACCTCACTGTTAGATGCCAGCATCCCCAGGCACAGCCAGCACTGTAGTCATCTTCAGCAGCTGACTCACACAGCAGAGCCTCGTTCACACAACGGATTGGAGTCCTCCCTTGCAGGGTGGAGACCAAGACATCTCTGAGCTGTTGCTGGGGTGAGGGCAGGGAAAGAAAAGCTCAACAGAGGAGGTACTGTGGAGTTGTGGCAGCTGAACTATGCCCAAGAGGAAACAAAGTTTGCCAGGGGCAGATGGTGCAGCACATGGAAAGATAAGACCAGTGCTCTGGCTCCAAGTTGCATTGAAGATGCATCCCTGGAAGAGCCTACTGCTCTTTTGTGGGGTGGAAGGCAGCTCTACATCCCAGTCAGAAGCTGTTCATGGTGGGTGCTACTGAAATCACCTCAAATTTGGGATTCAGACTTGCCAGGGACACAAAACTGCTGTTTGTAATAAATTTTAGAACAATCTTAGGTTGAGATTTTTTTTCAATACTTCATACAACACCAAACAGCATTTTTCACCAAAGACATGCCTCAGGCTCCTTGGCATGTTCTGACTGTAAGAGCAAGTGCAGTAACCTGCAAATGGCTGTAGACTGTGCCTTGGCTATACCACGTATTTTGTTTCCATTTGAATTTCCTCTACTCCTGTATTCCATCTCCTACAATTTCACCCTTCTGAGCACATCTTAAAAAAAAAAAAAAAAAAAAAAAAAACTACCACTAAAACCTGAAACACTGTTGTTCCCAAAGAAAGCAGTGATTAGTCTATGACTAACTGAGGGGAAGTAGAGTCCAGAGAGTAAGGTTTTATTTTCAGTTTAATTTGATATTCACATTCACAAGCACATGAAGTTTCCTCCAAAACATATTTTCAGAGGAAACACTAGTCAGCATTTCTGTATTTCAGGGAAGAGCTTTGCTTAATGTACATAACAGTTCTCTACTCACCACCAGCTCTGGTTAGTATAATGTTTCAGAAGGCACCTCATACCACTTGCTTGTCCTTTAAATAGTGTTATTCAAGTGGAAGAGAAATCGAAAGAACACTTAATTAATAAAAATAATTGAGTAATGAATACAAATGAATAACACATGATGCAATAAATGGATTTAATTACAGTCACAGTTAAATACAATGTCAGCACCTTTTTGTGGAACATGACCAACCCACAAGAGTTTTGAAATCACAAGCTCCAGGACAAGATTTTCACACTGGCTGCTTCTTTCAGATCCCTCTTTTGGGGGGACCCAAGCACAAGATGAAGTAATACAGAGCACTTTTTTTGCAGAACAAAGGTTCTCTGGGCTAAGTCAGGTATCCTGAATTTTGCATTTGAGATCGAGGGGTCATCTGTTCACCTTTGGGAATCCCAGGCATATGCTGAAGCAGGTGCCTTGGTTATTGGCCTGTGAGTGTTTTGTTTTTTTTTTTAATGGACATAGACTTGTTGAGAGCCCATTTTATATTTGTAAGACACATTCACCCCTTTTTCGGCATCTGCAAAGTTACAAAGAATGAGTGCCTGTGTTCAGTAGGTTAAACACTCTGCCTGTGGTTAATTCATGCCTCAGAGCTCAAAGCTCTAAAAGTGCTGGGTGGATCATTGTGGTTTTGCAAAATTAAGGTGTTCCATTCCCCATAGTTTCTCCTTCTTTCTGTGTCATCATTTTCAAAGCTTTTATGGCGGACTTAAATTTAGAGTGCTTGTGGCTTTGTTGGGGTACCACCTTTACACTGTGTGGTCACAAATTTGTGCTTCCTGTCTTGAAAAAATAGTGCCAAGATGGGTGGAGAGCTTCTCGATTAGGTAACCAGGGATGGGCTAAATAGCATTACATATCATTGATTTTCCAGTTTCAAGGCATGTAGACAGACAAGAAGTATGCTTAGGTATCTAACTTCATTCAGAAAGAATGGGACAAAGTTAAGTGAATACAGATGTATTTCATGGTCCTGGTGCTAATTTCATGTTGAGGGGAGTAGTCAGGGATGTATGGGTGTGTCTGCATAACAAGATAGACAGATAGATGTATGTATAAAGTACCAAATATTTCCCTGGAACTTTAATTGCACTGTCTGCCATGTAACCACATTTACAGGCCATCAACTTTTTCCAACCCGAGTATCTGAAGTTAGCTTTCTAATTTTATATCAGGGTTACTAAATGAAGAAGGCCAGAGCTTTTAAAAAGTCAGTAGTTACTGCTGCCTGGTCAGCCCTTCAAGAAAGAAAATAATTACTACAGGCAGTCAAATATGAGTATTTTATTTAGGAATCTAGGTTTAAAGTCTGGGTTTTTTCTACTGTGAAGAATAATACCTGGCTTGTCTGTAGATAGATGAACTGTGAGTGTACATAATACATTTCTAAGTAGCTCTAGCCCTAAAAACATGTTTCCTTGTAAAGGATTAAGGAGAGAACTGTTCTGTGAAGCAGTAAATCACTTTTCAAGCATAACGATCGCAGTTTTTTTTTTCAAAGTATGGAACAGTTACCACTTAAACTGCAAAATAGCTTTTATAAAACATGTTGCACAGGATGGAGGTCTGAAAATTTGCTGTCAGAATGCTTGTTTCTCTGATTTGAGATTTTGAGAGGCCTGTCTCTGGAAGACCAAGGTGAACAGTGCAACAACTTATTACAGATGAGGGAATTTAGAGCTCTATGTGAGATAAATCTCTCCTGAAATGTTCATTTGTTTTTTGGAGCTGAAAAGATTTTTTAAACTAGCAAAGAAAAAATGTGATTAAAAATGTCCTTTCCTCTACATTGTTCCCTTATGCTATCTTAAATCCAGTAGTTTTTTGGTTCTCATACAGAACAGGAGTCATATCTTCATTGTAAAGAAATAGATGTGGTATGTTTGTATAGTGCTCTCAGGATTGAAAGCATGAATAATGATTTCTATTATTGCTGCTTTTGTAGAGCAAAGCTTTGCCTGTGTTAGTCATGCACAGCAATGGAAGGAGACTTTTTGTTTTGTTATGTGTTTTTTGTGTTTTTTTTTTTTCATGGAAAAGATTTTGTCTACCATACAAATTAATTAAATAAAAAACAGAAGGAAGATGCACTGTATTTTCTTTACAGATACAATTACCTTGTTGCCTTGAATTCACTTCCGGAAAGTTCATTATTAATAAAAATCTGCTATGAATATGAAGCAGATATCCTAATCTGATACAAATGTAACCTGGAAAAAGAGGTTGCACTGAAGTGATTAAGCGGTAAATGAATTTAGAAAAAGAATAAAATGCATAACAGATAAGGGACAAGGCCTGTGGCTCATCCTTTGAGATCTGAACTATTAGCCATGTGTAAAATCCTAGGCCCATGATTGATTAAATCATGTTATTCTCCTCTCTAAATCTCTCCTTTGGTTTGCTCTCGTATTCTATAACAAGTCCCTTTTTAATGGACTTTGGCACTTGACTAAGTCCTCTTCAAACTCAGAAGTCCAAAAAAAAAAAAGGGGGGGGGGGGGGAGAGAGGGGGTGCAAATGAAGCTAAAGAAATGTACTAAACAATAAAGAATTCCAGTATTAAGCTTTTAAAAATGATCAGACACTTGGAGTGCAATTGTCTTTAACAGTCAAGCTTGAGATTTCTTGTATGCATCTAATTTTCAGCAACTCACTGTAACCTTACATCTCCAAATACAATACAGGTGCTTTTTTAGTTTTGTTATTTTTATTTTGTTTTGTTTGTTTGTTTTTAAAATACACAGAAGTTTAAGTTACTTTCAAAACTGTGGCCATAATTTTCAGCATCTTCTGGGCTGCAGCATTTGTTTTTTGCTCTTTGCCTGCCTACTTAGACTGCAAGACCTTAGAAGAAAATAGCATGTTCTTTGTGCTTTATACAATCCCTCGCACAATGTTAGTTAATTAGCAAGTAAAATAAACAGCAAAAGAATAAATTCCATGAAAAACATGCAGAATATTGGAGACTAAGTATGTTTTTAGCTTTACAATACATGTGGGTCAACTGCAAAATATGAAAACAAAGGCCATATCTGGATTAATTTTGTGGTTCTGATCCATGCTCCTTTCATTAAAACTGCTTCCCTCCCTAGTCACCTCTTGCATGAGAAAGGGACTGGACAACCTGGATGATTATAGATTAACAAAATCTGAAAGAGGTTTGGGAGACAGTGGAAAGAACAAACAGATTCAAATGTCAGGTTCTGCCAAGAAAGCACCTGGAACAAATGTATTTTTATATTATTGCATGTTAAGTGGGTTTGCCTGAAGAATTGCTTGGAATTTAATAGTGGCATTTCCTGAAGAACAGGTTTGAAATGAGCTTAATCCCAACCAAGTGATAATTTGCTAATTTTAAAAAAGACAGATAATTATTGGACATTTCCTTGTGCTTTTGAAGGGGTGGGATTTTGGAGGTTGGATTTTATTTTATTTTATTTTTCTAGTTTATGGGAAAAAAAAAAAAAAAAGAAAAAGCTTATGAACCAGATGTTTCTTCTCAGATTACAGCAGCCTGGTTGGGCTGCATGTACAAAACGGGAATAGGCCTGCTATAGTACCAGGTGTTATATCTAACATATAGCATTACTGTTACTATTGTTTATACAGTAGCTCTAGCTCTGTCTCAGGCATGCTGTAGGCTTACACTACCATGCTAAATATCTACTGGTGTGACTGGGAGATGGCTCTGAAACAAAGTTCTCTCTGTGTTAGAGAAAACCCTGCTTTAAACTACATCAGCAGGGAGGCACTTATGCCATGGTATCATGATATAGTCCAGCACCTGAAACTTTTGCTAGCTTGGAGTGCAGTTGCTGTGTAGAAGTCTCCATTAAGTACTACAATAAGTGGCTTAAGGGAACAAAATTGTGTGGGGCAGTGAATATGGGATGAGTGAATATGTGACTCAACATACATATATCAGAGCTCTCTGATGTTAAAAATTTACAGTTTGAAAGAATGAAAAACACAAACAGTTGAGGAAAAAATTCTGACAAGGCATCTACAAACAAGTCAGGCTACTTTCGTTTATTCAATACACACCCATCATTGCACCTACAAAATGTCTCTGAGGAGAGAGAGATTCTGGATGCAAACATACTAATGTTCATGTAAAGGGCCACCATTCCAGGTGCTTAACAGCCATAAATTGGACTGCATTTTTCTACGACCTCTGCTTATGTTTTAAACCACAGCCAGCCTTTCAACAGTTACCCAACAGCTAGCATCTCCTGCTTTTTGACAGAGCTCAGCATTTTTGCAGGTGCTTACATGGAATTGCACTGTCTTGAAAAATTGAGTCATTAACATCGGTGCTTAAAGGTGGTTCTGAAAGTGCAACTAGTGCTTCTTCAGAAAATCTGTGTCCAGTGCTGTGACAATTAGTAGCTTTTAAATTCAGAAGCAGTTTTCCCAGGCCAGACATTTTTATGGACGCTTGTTTTGTCTTGTCAGTGCTTGTTAGCTTGGTACGTTGTTTATGAAGCATAAGATAACATCAACCCTACAAACATATATTTAGTTTGTGGGAGTGGTTTGTTTTCCATGAACACATTCACATACTCAACGTGGCTAAACAAAGCCAGTTGTATACTACTACCTAATCAATGTTAAAGCAACAGTATTATTCTGTAACTCAAGAAGGAAACAGCTGAGTCATTCACAGCTTTGTGGGGGAAAAAAAGACATAAAACCTTTATCTCAATATAACTAGTATCCATCTTTAATTTTCTCCTTATTCATCCCCCATCTGCAGTTTAGAAGGCAATGTCCATACTTTTAAATCTTTGTGGTCTTCTATTTTGAGGAACATAAGCCATTCTTAGGGGGGGAGAATCAGACTTTACAAATGCAGTCCAGACTTTATTAATACAGATCGCAGCTGAACAGAAAAAATGGAGAATATAGAAGTAGTTGGGTCCTTGCCACATCTGAATAAAAGACAGAAGCTTAAATGTGAAATTAGGAGACTACATTTAAGAATTTACTTTTATGGGAGAAAAATCTTTAAATTTTTGCAGATGTTTATCTCCT